ATGATCATCTGCCCATATACACTTACTAATCATGTACTAGATTTTTAGCAAGCCAGAAGAACAATGTTGTATGTCACTACAATTTAATAATTGTACTAATGTTAAGAGTTCAAGTCAAAGAATGACTGGAAAAACTTTTGCTAAATATATTACAGAGATTGTGAAATTTAGAATCTAAAAATATTGAACGGGAAAGGACTTTTTTTTATGCAGGAACATTTAACGACAACATAGCGAGAAAATTTTTTAGTTTCATGCTGTTAACCTCTTGAATACCGGAAGGCATCTATAGATGACATGAAGGAAATTTTGTGTGTTGCATATGCTTTTCCGTTCTATCGATTAAACGAAAAAAAAGTGCCAGAGGAACACATGTCACGAAAACAACAGAACACAATGAGAGATATTTAATCGTTTTTTTACATATGCATGCCTTTGGATGCGGAAGACGAAAAATAACGGCATTCAAGAGGTTAAAGAAAAATCGTGTGAATAAATATGCGTTCTAGATCTTTTAGTTCAGAACTAAATTTTTGTCCAAAAAGCGCCATGGAGTCATTGAAATAAACTGATCATGAATAAAAAGTGACCGATTCATTCTGGATTACGAGCTCCTTGTAGATTATGTTGTCAGGAGCAAACAAATTTTCAAGCTGTATAGAATACTGTTCAAATGGACTCCTCTGTCTCTGATTTATAGGAGAACAACGCAGAAAGAGCTAAAATTAAAACATAGAAAAATGTTTCAAGAACCGTGCAATATCAGAACACTCTTCTGCGCTGAAAATCATCAATGATAATTAGGACGGAAGGCATGCGAACAGGGCTGGAGTGGCCATTCTCCTTTCCTGTTTCCATCTATGCTGTCAACTACATGACGTATACAAAGTATTCAATTGTGCTCTAAGTAGGGTGTTGCGTATGCGACACAGTGAACTCTGCTACTGTTCTAAGTTTATAAGATTTATTTTCTATAGCGTATTTGCTACATATTTCGTTGATTTTATATATTATAGCTCGTTTAAGAACTTTGTCTTCCTTTCTTATCTTTTTATCTAAAAAATCGGTCATTTTTTATTAACTTACGATTAATCATTAAAGTGTAGGCGATTCAGAAGGTATGGATTTTGTTTCCTCTATTGTTACTTTCTCAACAACTTTAGCTCATCTAACTTTCTTTATCATTAACTGCTATAATCCACGTTGATCCTTTATCATTCGATGTGCATTCATCCTATTTATGATATTTTCATCATTTGCTACTTGTTTGCGCATTCTTTGTCTGCTTTTACGAATAATTTCTTTCTGTTAATCAATTCATAAAAGTTATTCATCTTTCAAATTGCGAATCAAGATTTAGTTGACCTACTTTCTAGAACACCGTGTCTATAAATTTGACACTTTAGACTACGCTGCTCTCTTCGAGCAACGACACGTTTCAATCGTCCTTAATGTCCTGATTGAAGATTAATTACAATTAGTTTTAAAACAAGCAGTATAGTCTTATAATGTCAGACTCTGTCTCATTGAACATAATGCAGGAAAACTATCATCTATTGTGTCAAGTATCAACAAATAATATCTGCAACGATTTAGATTCAGAAAAGTCTGTGAGTTCAAGAAGACTTTGATTCTTGAAGCTCCATATTTTGGAGTTTGTAACAAACTCCAAAATATGAATTTCGAAATATTAACATAAACTAATAGATTGAGCAATTATATGTACTATTCATAAGGTGATTTTAACGATTGAGACACTGAAGGTTTAATTGATACTGGTGATGAATCAAATCTGAAGACGGTGGTAACAGTATTCAGAGAGATCATTTTACACGTGATTATCGGACACATTTGATTGAAACATAAAACAAAATGAAAGGAAAATGAACATCAAGAACGTATGAGTGGCTATAAGTAATATAAATAGAAAAAAATTTCTTGCTTCTACTAGTTTATTTCATAGTAAAAGTGACTTGAAGCCGTGCGGTAAAAATCAAGGATTTTTAGTTGTATGAAAATGAAATGAAATGAAAATAGAGTTGCACACTCACTAGTCAGTATGTATAGATCATTAAAACGATTGTAAAATACAATAAACAAATAATCGATGATAAAATTTATCAAAGTTCAAAGATTGAATTTTAATTATTTTACGTTTTTTACTTTACTTTTTTCACAAACCGCTATATCAAATTTTTAAAAAAGTTTTTACTTATCGTTTGTTATTAAAAGATAAATTCATTAAATCTTTAATAGTATTTTACTCAACATCATAAAACAGAATTGAAGAATTGTCGTCTTATCTCATCATGTTTTACAATTCTTACTAATACGAAGACCACTGTGTTAGTCAATAGTTCATCTCAAATTGACCATTGAATTTTTTTTGTGCAAATAAAGAACTAAATATAATTTCAGTCTTCATTCGATTGATCTGAGAAATATATTTTTTTTGTTTTTTTATCACTGTAATATTATGCCATTTCGGTAATTGTCATACTATATAAATAAAAATTCAGTATTCGATTTAATTTGTTTGACAAACACCGGCCTATAATATTATTATAAAAAATGAGATTATATTTTTCTTTCTTAGAAATTGTCTTCCTCATAAACAAAATATGAACTGCTGATTGTTGAAAAAGAAAATATTGTTTCTTTTTTTCTCTTTTCTTTGTTTTTCTCTCTTTTGTCTCTCTTCCGTCAAATATCTTTATTTTAATAACGACATATTTAACAGAATAATAAAAAAATAAAGGTAACGAAACGAAAATACTAATCATCAAACAATGTCTCAATTTCAATAACAATAAAAAAAGAAAAAGAAATTTAAAAAGAAAGAACAGAAGAGAAAAATTACCTATCATTTCTCTCTCTCTCTCTCTTTCAATTCTATTCAACTCTATTTACAGCAAATAAATTTTACTAATAAACTAAAAACGTCGCTCACTTGTTGTCACTATACCGTTATAACATTATTGCTGTTTCTATTCTGTTTTTCTTTCTTTTTTTTTCTTTTTTTTTAAAAAAGAATTTTTCTTGATGATCTATGCATGTCTATATACACCATCTATTCTTATTGTTTAATATAATATGAAACTGATTTCTTTTTCACTTCTTTTCACACTACACATACACACCATCATACGAAAAAACGTTTCACTATGATTATTTTTGTGCCATTTTTTAAATAATTAGCTTATAAATAACTTACTTTTTTCTTCAGTATGACGACACAAACTCGTACCAGTAAGTAATGTTACTTCTTATTAGAGATCAAAGGCTACTTGAAAAAAAACAAAATAATATTAAGCTACTTTGACACTCTCTTGTAAGAAGAGAATGATACTGGATTTGCAGAAATTGTTACAGTCATGCAAAATATTTTTGATAAATTACACAGATTTTATAAAGGAAGGCGTCTAGTTCAACATGAAACATTGCACTACACTCTAAAAAAAAACGTATAGTACAAAACGACAAAGGGTTTTTGCATTTGTAACTATACCAAACGCATTTCCGTTTTGCATTCAGAGTGCAAAAAATACCCTTCCGTTTTTTTAAAACATTGCTTTAACAGTAAATCTCTATGGCAAAGTTATAACTAATTTTGTAGTTAAACCGAAAGTGTTGTAATTATCAAAACACGTTTAATGTTTAGTTTTTTTCTTTTTTAATAATATTTACTATTGACTACCTTATTTTTTTTTCTAACACAATAGATTTCTTTGGTGAATAGACAAACAAAATCATATGGATTGATTAGTAGTCGATATTTGAATTTATTGGAAAATAAAGTTTTCTAGAGTCTCATTAAAATGGAAATTTTAGACTTTGAAGGCTCGCTCATAGAGTAAAATTACAGAGAATACTCAAAAATCTACTCGTTCTGTCCACCTTTGATTTAAAATTATTCCAACATTTTTACCACTATGATCTGAACAATAATTTTGAGAAATATAGGGTATATTTATCTTAGATTGTGTTTAGTTATAATTTGGAAACTCTTTAGACTAGACAACTGAAATGTATTTACCAAGAGTCACTTAAGGCCTCCCTCCGCTAGAAACACAATTTTTTTTTATAAAAAGTCGATATTGAGCTAAGCACATCATCAGATAGCCCACAGTATTTAATATCAGGATCCAGTGTTATTTTATCCTCATCGAAAGGTTATGGAGGTTTTTAGAAAAGTTTTCTGAAAATCTTGAAAAGCCGACTTTTTGAAAAAGTTTTACTTTTCGATTAAAAAGCAAATCAAAAACTACTTTTAGTAACACCAGAAAATAGAGCAAACATTTCTGATTAAAATGAGGTATCTCCCGGCTCTGAATGTTGTTCCAATCAAGAATTATGAGAGTTCTGCTAGAAGCCCTAAAACTTGCATCAGATACTGGCGCCACCATATCTCGAAAGCGACTTTCATCTTAACACCATTTCGTAGTTGCACGATTTCTCGGTAACGAAACATCGCAAAGAGCTCGGGAGGTCTGAAATTGAAGTGGACACATGTAGCCAGAGACTAATAGAGCCCGATATTTGATTTTCGGCCTGAATTTGTGGTCAGACAAACATCATCAACAAAGTTAATGCGACTTTTTCGAATTTTGGACTTTTGACGCTGACCATTAATTTAAAAAGAAAAATATAAAAATTCGGCTCTATTAGCCTCTAGCAACATGTGTTTTCGTCAATTTAAGGCCAGCTCAAGCTCTCCACAATGTTTCGTTACTGAGAAATCTTGGAGCTACGAACGGTCCCATTTTAGTCATGGTTGTGGTGACATCTCACAAATCATGCACGATGGAGCCAAACAAAAAATTTCGTTACCATACTTTCACAAGATCAGCATCTCCTAAAAGTTTGGTCAAGATCAAACTTATGATTTTAGAGATAGGTTTCTGACGAGGTGGGGAGAGGGGGCTTAACGTAATGTACATTTTTCTTAAGAATTGTATTACAAACTACTATAAAATTAAAATAGATCTTTTTTTTGTAATCTGATAAAATGAATCTATTGTAATTGTATAAAAAATTAGATTTTTAACTATTATTGTTCTTTTTCATTTTTTAAGCTGAACGTCGTGGTTCAATATCACAGGCTAGTTCAGAAATATCACTGAATCGTCCACGTCGTCAATCAAAAGTGGTTGATACTCGTCCCAAACATCTAACACTTGGAGACTTTGAATTGACGAATGTTGTGTAAATATATTAATGAAGATTGTGTTTTTCTAACTGAGATTTGATTTTGCTTTTTTTATTATTTCAATTTTTTTAGCGATTGTGAAGAATATGTTTTATGTTGTAAATATAGTCCAAATGGAGAAGTATTTGCGGTTGGATTGGGCAACGGAATGATTAAAGTAAAATTCAAAAACCAAAGTATCATTAAAAGTTGATTATAGTTATCATTTGATTATTTAATTAGGTTTATTCGAAAAAGGGCGAATTTCAATATGTTTTAACAGATGCCGACACGAAAACAAGACGTAAATTATTTTCAAACAAACAAAAATGATGTTGTATAACTAATAATATACATTTTGTTTTTAAGGATACCCTGTAACATGGCTACGTTTTTATGCGAATAAAGATGATTCAAAATCTGATCAAAATAAAATGTTAGCTGCTACATGTAAGAACATTTTGTATTCTGATATAATAGTTATCAAAGTCTCTTTATTTATTTATGTATAGATACAGCTGGATATGTAAAAATTTGGCATTGGCCAACTCAACAATGTGTTTATACATTTCAAGAACAAGAACGACAACCATTGGCATTAGACTTTAATTGTAATTTTCAACATTTATTTGTGGCTGGTAGCGATTGTGCCATTAATTGTTATGATTTTCAAACAAAAAAGTTGATTCGAAAGTTATCAGCTTCGTACGTAATAAAAAGCTTCTATCTGTTAGCGAACTAAAATGAGCAAATATATTAGAGTTAAATTTTTTTTCTAGTTTAATGATAAGCATGAACAGTTAGTTCATTTACTATTAGATCTCTGATAAATTCATTTGTTTTATTTCTATCTTAAAATTTTTACATTTTTTTTATTTAGAGAGAGTCGAGAAAGAATGGATGGACATAAAAATCGAATACATGCGATACGTTCACATCCAGTAATGGATACCGTTTTCTTAACAGGAGGATGGGATGAGACTATTCACTATTGGTATATCGTATAATTTTTTCTCTTTACGTGTCTTGTGTCATATAGTCACTTTTGTTTGTTGATGAATAGGGATGAGCGAGCAGCACAATCACAAAAGCATTTTGCTGGTCCACATCTTTGCGGAGATGCTTTAGATATTATAGCTGACCATCAAGTCATTTTAACTGGCTCATGGCGAAAATCATCAACATTACAGGTACATCAGTATAGTTCGTTTTTCAACATATTATTTTAATAATAAAAAGAAAAAAATTAGATTTGGGACTTTACCAGTGGTGAATTGATTAAAGATGCATTTGAAAAAAACGCAACATCTATGGTTAGTAGAAATATTTAAACTTCTACACATTTAACACTAAGATTGTGTATGTGTGTTTTTCAGTTGTATTGTACAAAATTTTGTCCTAAAGAATACATTTTGTGCGCTGGAAATGAAAAAAATGAGGCCATTGTGTACGATTATTCAATATTACAAGTAGGATAATTAAAATAAATAATCTTTATCTTATCTTATTTATACTTTCTTTTAGATGATTGGTGGAATCACGGATTTGGAGCATGCTGTTTATTGTGCAGATAATGATCCGAGTTCAACCAAACCCAATATGATTGTTGGATCAGGAAAAAATATTTTTATTGTTAATGATCGTTCTCGTATAAGATAAAATTCTAGATCAAAGCTTTTGCTGAACAATGTGTTTTGTCTGATGATAATTTGTGATCTAATATAATCCGTCCATTTTTTTTATTCTTCTTTTTGTTACAGAATAAACTTTTTTTTCTTGTTTTTTTCTGATTTTCGTCCTGTTTGAGATATATGTTGCATTTTTTGAATTAACAGTGTTTTTCTAACACATCCATAGAGTACGTTAATGCATCATTTGATCAAAAAATGAAAGCAGGAAAAACGTTGAAATAATGATATTTACAAAATTTTTTAAAAAAATAACACAAGTGATCCCGAAAACATCGGGATTAATTGTCGATGAATTAAATATGCAACATTGATCTTGGAAAATTTTTCTTTCTATAGCTGATATATAACAGGATAAAGAAAACTTTATTATTTTTAAACAAGGATGTATCATATAAAAAAAAAGGTTAGTTTCGAAACTAACTGTGGGAGAACGATAATGGATTTTCTCCTTAGCTTTTGGTGATGCTGTTCTTCTTTTCCACAGTCTGTCCATTCCTTTACGTTTGCCTAGTAAGTGTGTCATAATTCTTGTGACATTGTCCCTTAGTGGATACTGAAGACAAGTTGCTGTGGTTATGGGTCGGATGAAAGGACTTTGAATGTACCGTCTGAACGTTGTTCTGTTTCCAGTTGATGTTCATATAACGGATATTTACGATATTCTGAACATTGATATGTTATTGAACTGCTCTGTTCGCTTTTCACATACGTTGTTTTCTTTTGTAAAAGTTTCAAGTTCACTCACATTTTTACAAGTGTCTGTTAATTTGTCTGACGATTTTTCCAGTAGAAAAAAGAGATTTTCACGATTCACACGTATCTTTGTCACACACAGTATCCATTGAATTGACTATTTTTCTCTAGAACAACAAATTTTTATCCCTTTTGGAACAATGAGAATTCTCATACTAGAAAATTCGTCTAAAAATCGATATGCAGCCAGAGTTAATTTTTCAGATAACTTAATTAAATGTTTAGACTGAAAATGATATCGGTAAGGAAAAACGTCTGAATAAACAATTTTTTCAAAATTACCTTTCCAATGTAAGAAGTTTTCGCTCTCCCTCCTTTCCCTGAAGTTTTGCACAAATATAAATCATGATAATCGATTTATCAGCTCAATTTAGAAAATTGATATTTACTAAATATATTGTATGTGTTAAAAAACTGGGCAGCTTAAATCTAGTATTGCTAACTTATACAGTGCACAGATAGTTACGTCTGTTGGGTCAACTCTCCTCATGAATCTTTCTCAAATATACTAATATTCCCTTCTTACGTGCACACGTGCACACAGAGTCAGTCGAACGTCGATTGCTCGCTTTTAGTCTGAATGATACATTTTTTTAAGAAGGATCGGTGGCGTATTTGGAAAACTTTTCTAATGCGTACGTATTGTCAAAAAATTAGTCAGTGTGTAGAATTTTTTTATAACTGTTTGAAACGACAGATCAACTCGTTTTCGAAGCGCTCACCCACCCCATCTATTGACAATCCGCTACTACAGAGGATAGCATGACCGTGTGTTTGCGAATTATGAAGGATTACAGGTAATACTAGAACATAACAAGCTCTCAGAGAGATATTTTTGCGGTTTAACTTTGCAAGCACATCATTTTATAGTTGAAAAATAGGCAAACATACAAAAGACAGTTAAAAAGTTTTGATCGTGGAATGTTTGACTCAGACTAAAATAAGAAAAGTCGAATTTGACTGACGGCTTACACGTTAATCTGTTTCTCGATCTGAAAAACTCAGTAATCATGCATACATGCTGTTGACCTATTAACGATTGTTTAGTTATTATAAACAAAACGCTAAATCTCACCCATTTTATATTTTTAAAGACTGTTGTTTAGGATAGTTCAGTTTGTCTTAAACGTTTCATCTAGAAATTATACGGTGTCCATCTTTGAGCAGTATCAATATCTTAAACAAAACTCAATATAAAAATAGGTGAACGTATCCACCAGGTGTGTTCTTAAAGTCAAAAGAACCTGTAACTAGAAAGTGACAATTTCATTTCTCGTACGCAACTCATGTAGTTGTTATTCTTACTGTGTAAATACAGTCATTTTCTTCCAATCACGTAATTTGTTTCCATCATGACTCTCTCTTATTCTTCGGTCAAATAACGTCTATCAGTTATATGAACTGGTAATCAAGTACGTCTCTGTCGAAACTCGTTTAGTAGAAAAGAGCATTACAAAAAAACTCAGGGTTAGTGAACTCGATCACACTCGATATCTTGATGCATTCTTTATCCGTGAAAAAACTTAATCAACATATCGTAAAAGAGAACTTACGATACCGACTTTTTTCAACGCTTTTAAATAAATTCAAATCACAAAATTCGTTCAATCAAAAAATTCAATCACGTTTTGGATAGAATGAACTTTGTTGTTTTCTGAATACCCGTCGAAGAAAAACTGACAGAGGCCTGATGCTTTAACCATTTCGCAAAAATTGATGCTATTCACCTATCAGAGAAGACAACTGCGTCATAAATCCAGAAGGATTGGCAATTGAAGAATTTCTTTTGGATCTTCCATGATTTTCTCGAAATCTTCACACCTAAAAAAACATGTTCTCGTACTCCGAACGTAACCATCATACAAATCGAACAGATAATAAATTCAAATTTTCACCCAATTTTTAAGTGAATTACAATTCTAGTACAACCTTACAGCAACTATTCATATAATTAGGATGTATTTCATTCAACCACTTTAGATATATTTTTATGCGATATAACAACGTATGTTCAGTCCGTAATACAGTTACATTCAATGTGATTTTAGTCTCTTAATTTCATATAATTTCTCAATGAGATAATATTTATTACAAAAAGCAAAAAAAAAATAAATTACAAACTATAGATTGCTTATTATATACAATATGTTGTCTCTCTTAATGTTCTTAATTGTGTGTATCGTTTTGATCTAAGTGAAATAGAACAGAAATTCTTCTATGACTCTGATTTTGAGAATTTAGAGAAACATACCAATATTTCGTTTTCCCTCCGTACACCTAGTCATACGAGATCTTGATCGTCGATTTTTAAACCACACTTGAATTCTCGACTCAGAAATATCGAGACGTTTTGATAAATCTTCACGATCATTGACATCTGGGTACTGTCTTGTCTGAAAGACTTTCTCCAATTCACGAATTTGCTCTTTACTGTAATTTGTTCTCTATAATCGAAAATAAAAAAGATAATCCAAAGCGAAAACTAAGGTTGTTTTTGTACCTGTCGTCGTCGTCTTCCCGTGGGTGGTATTAATTGAGATAAAACTGAATGATCGGGAATATCATCGGAATAACTGGATGTCGACGTCAATAATGGATATGGTGGTGCAAAATAATCTGGCAGTTGAATAACATTCGAACTTGGAAAAACGATTGGATTCGGTGTGGTTGAGGGAGATAAAGATGGTGAAGACGGTGAAGTGTAATATGACGGATATGAACGTGGACATGGTGAAAATGAACGCGATATACTCAAATTTTGAGGGTAATTACATGAAGGACTTTCTATCACTAAAAAACAATAAATAAAAATCCTTTATTGAAAAGAAACTCCAAACTAAACAGAACCCAAAACCCAACACGATGTTTATAATAGTACTCGTGTGTCAAGTTGCAAACTACTTTTAAATCATCTTTAGACGTTTTACCCTATGCTTACCTAAATTTGAAGAATAAATATTTGTTGAATTATCGTACATACAAATAACAGGAGATGTTGGGAATGAATTATTAAAATGAGATGATGTGGGTGTCGAAGATAAATAAGGATTAGATGAAATATAAGGGTAATTGAACGATGATGAATTAGATGAGTTCATTGATGTTTGATATCCAGAGGATGATGAAGACGATAAGTAGCACGGATTTGTTGAAAAATGTGGATCGAAACAATCTGATTGGGATTCCATAACTAAAGGCAGAAAAAAGGAATTAGAGAAAGAGAAGAATAAAGTACTCACTCGGTTTTCAATATGGAAGACGTTTGTGCTGCTAAAAAATAAGACAATAATTTAGAAATCCAATGCAATTTTCTGAATTTTACGTATGCTTGTTACTAAACAGTTGAGGTTTCGAAAATGAATGTACGTAGGAATCTGTATTTCTACTGAAATAACTTTGTTTTCATGATCGAATGGAAGAGATCGGTGTACACTCTATGTTTATTCGAGTAAGAACTCAACAATTGTTTGATAATCAGCCACTTACCTTCAACTTGATTTATATTATACTGAATTGAACAGATAAAACAAATGTCATTTACATTATTAGAATATTATTTAAAATATAGAATTTTTCGTTGACTCTATTCTATTTTTATCCTATAAAAATATTTTTATCTGTTTTCTTTAAACCAATAAAAATACGATGCGTCGTGCAACATGTTTCTCGCGTTTAATTTCAAAGAAAAGGAACAAATTTTTAGAACAAATAAAACACGTTTAAGTTGATTTGAATCAAGGTGAACTATATTAGAGATCAAAGAGATCTAAATCTGGATGACAAAATAGTAAGAAAATGCTTTCTCATATCATATTGGAAATAAACAGCTAGTGTATGATCCGATGCGCAGAATTAAATGAGAATATAGATATATTTAGCATAGAAAAAAGAAACGAAACATAAGAAGAGTTTTCTTTCCTTTTTATAACAATTGCAAAACAAGAGCCAACTAAAGTTGATAATGATTAAGGGTAGTACGTGTAGGATATAAAACATTTCTCATATTTTCTATGTTCATAGATAGAAGAAAATATATGTGTGAAAAAAGATTTAGACAGGTGGAAGTTTGATAACAAGGTGTGTGGATATTGTTACATTGAGTGTTTAGGATAAAATAACAGCTTGCCGATTATTTTGTTAAATAATGTTTTTAATGTGTTCAAATCGTTGTTCATAGTAAAAAAAATTAGTATTTCTTCGAGTTCCTCTCAATTATAGTACCGAATTGTTTTCAACCAGTAGATGATCTCTCACAACAATTTAATTTTAAAAACAGTAAAGTGTCTATGCTCTTTAAATTACAGAAAAATACAACACCTTAACAGAAAGAAATAATTAATTTCTTTCTCTCTTATACTTTCCATTTCCCGAGCACTTTGAATTTGAAAAAGAATTGCATTCAAAGAAAGATTCTAGAATATAACCAATACATTTCTCCGTAACCAGATAAGAGTTCTGGTCAGATTCAAGAAAATGGTATGTGAACCTATGGCTTTTCACACGAAAAGTTCAGAACTTCAATAGCGATATGTGGAAAAATTGTGTTCATCATTTTGATAATTTGTTTATAATTCTCGTGTTTTCTCTCTTATAATGACTTATTTCACTGCGGTATTCTGTAGTTGAGTGACATCAAAACTCACTACCTAATACGTGTAATAACAGGAACTAAAAACATATCAATCGATTAAATAGAACTAATACAAATTTCGTTTATTGATACGCTTGATTTTGATATTCAGCGAGCAAATATGAAATGTTTTATTTTAGTGAAAGAAAAATAAGGTGATGTCGGCATCTATTGAATTAATTAAGCCAATGATGACATAAAAAAATAAAGTTAGATATGTTCGTTTAGTTTACTGAAAAAAGTGTAGACAAATTATTGAATAAAAGATATTCTTCATGAGATAATCTAATATTTATGAAATGTAGCATCATTATGCTAAATGACGAGTATTTTTAACCAGTTTTTGGGATAAACGGAGGGATGAGTAGTAGTGATTTACAAATAAATACATGATGTGATTGTTCTGAAAATAAACATTAGATTACTTGATTCATAGAAAAAGCAGAGTTTTATTTGTTTAAGATTTCGAATCATCATGCTGAGATTATGAAAGAGAAATCAATTTTTTTTTTCCTATCGCTAACGGGATCACGCCGAGAAACAACAAGTATAATTTTGTCTTGTAAAATAGGAATAAGTTGTATGAATGATTTAAATAGGTAGTTTCATTCTAATACTCTGTAATTAATTTTTACAGAGTTTCCTGTTCTATTAATACAATCACAGATCTCAATAGATGAGAAAGTTAGTGTTCTAGATTTCGAGTCTGTCATCAGGTCTTCAGACGTACGATAGATTTGAATATCACTTCAGATCGGTTACGATTTGACAAATATTCTTTTAATGTTGAACGAAAATTTGATAATTATGTCGTCTACAATAATTATGAAGGCTTGTTTAACAATTATTCGATTATTTTATCAAACATTAAACATATACCTTAGTTTCATACTTAGATTTTGTATTACTGTCCATACGTTGAATAACTATGAAAGATTGGCGATTTATTCAACGACTTCCGCTAGATTCTATTGAACGATCATATTTATTACAAATAATTTCAAATCAGTTTTCGCCACTAATGGTCAATTCAACATTCATTTTTCCATCTATATATAAAAGAAAAAAAGTTGTTGTTCTATGATGGATAAACGGACATTATTCAAAAACTGTACGACTGTCAAAAGTCAATATCTTCATCAACTATTATGCTATTTTGGTATGGACCCTTTTGATCTAACTATTGTCTCATACTAGTGAGTGACATTGATTTATTATATGTTTTATTTGTCCACTTTCCAGAAAGTCAGTCATGTTCTGTATAAGCTGAACGTTTGAGAAGTCTCGTAACCGCTCTGTTGAAGCATGTAACATTCATGGGAAAAGTTTATTTCGTAATAAAGTGTTTTTTATCTCTACCAGTGATATGTTTCGACCTATTTGCCTTTGCTTCATCGTAGAAACTATTTGCAAATCGTTCAGTTATGCTGCGGAGCTAGTTTACAGAGAATTTGGCCCAAACAAGCACAGACAGCAGCTGAATTTTACATAGGAAATGATCGTTATAGTCTAATTACTTTTCAATATCTTAAAAAGAGATATCCAAGCAACAAAATAAGATATTCTCCAGCGGACTCATCCCTAAAAGAGATAATAGTTCTTTGCCACGCACTCTCATTTACCCGTCGCCGCCTTTGTAGTTATTATCTCTCTTTTGGCCGCAAGTGCTCCAATTTCGTGAGCTATCTGGCTGTTGAGGCTATGACTTATGGGAAACGAGACTGGTTTACGTTTTTCATTCGGTACGCTTGAATAAGCGGTGTTTTTCAGTTATACTGATTAAATCAGAGTTGTGACCGATGGGAAAAACCCAAACTGGATTGGATCGGCTGGTATAAACTTTTAAAAACTGACCAGCCGATTGAAACACACAAATAAACCGGTGAAGATCGGCCGATTTTATTGAAGAATTACGCTTTTTGGTCATAGATCTATTAAGTTATTTCTTCTTAATACTATAACTGATCGTTCATGTAGCTAAAAAAATATGTTTAATGATGATAGAGTACAGTTAGTTCAATTAAAAGACGTCTGCCAACACCAAGGTATTAAGATATATTGACTTTTGCAAAGCCAGATATTGAAAGACATGCCTTGAACCAGTTAATAGGCATAATACTATGTCTTGAATAGGATGCGCAATGCGCATTGCGCATCTCCGTTTTATCCTCGAATTGATAATGATATTTGTCCGATGTAATTGTCTCACTTCATGCTATATGTCTATGTAGGCCTAAAATTCGTTCAGTTTGCCAAGAAAGAACTCTATAACATTGTGTCTAACTTTATAGGTAAATCATCTGGTAGTAAAATAACGCAACTGCCTCAACGAAAGGTGCATTCTTATGGAAATCGTAATCATTGAGAATGCGTATTTGCACACTTCTGCAGAAAATTTGCAGTACCGAACTTCCGAGAAAAATACTTTAAACTTGGGATTGTGGTTTGTACTAAAACAAGACGTTTGTGAGAAACCAATGTGTTGGCTATATTTATTTACGATGCGATTGTTAAGTTCTCGAAATGCAGTTTCAAGTGCTATTTCTTCTCATAACTGTTAGAATATGCAATTGCTATGCATTTTCTCAATCAATTCCCAGAAAGAAGAAATTAACAAGAATGACCAAAAATGCTTCCCTTTTCACTTCCCAACACTTCTGACTTTCAAAAATTGTTTCTGATCTTCTTGAAAAAGCTATTCCTTATCAGTTTTCGTCACCAGCTCAATGACGGTTATACACTTTGTTTCTCAAATTTATCGTACGATTTCAAAGACTTTGACCAAATCTTATACATAGAAAGATAGAGAATTTTCTGCGGTTCAAACGAGCTATTGATAAGCTTCTCAAGCATATGTCCACATAGAGCAATTGTCAAACAGATTTCATGATTTTCATCTATCTTAACAGTTTTTAAAGGAATACTTCATTGACGCTTTTACTCAGACCCAGAATATTTTATACATAGAAAGATAGAGAATTTTCTGCGCTTCACAAAGCTATACATAAGATTTCAAAGATATACCCATATAGGACAATTGTCGAAATACTCGACAGATATCATGATTTTCAACTACCTGAAGGCTTTAAAAGAAAATTTCTTCCATAAATCTGTTCAGACCCAGAATATTTTATACATAGAAAGATAGAGAATTTTCTGCGCTTCACAAAGCTATACATAAGATTTCAAAGATATACCCATATAGGACAATTGTCGAAATACTCGACAGATATCATGATTT